GTGAAAAAAACTCACATATCAGTCTAGACATTATATAATTTGAAATCACATTTTTTTAAAATTTATATTAGCTGATAAATTAACAAGTGATAGTGTAACTATTGACAAGTCAGAATGCCACTATTAACACTTGAATGTGTCATTTGACCAAAAGAAAATAAATGTGTCATTAATAACAAGTGATTTCATAATTTTGTATCAGTGATAATTAATTGTTAATAACAATTCTATATCAAATTATAACCAAAATGTATTAGTTTATCGAAATTAATGATATCATATGAAGTCGTATGACATTATCTAACTTAAAAGCACGTTTTTTAAAATTTATATCAGCACATAAATTGATAATTAATAGTGCTATGAGTGGCAAGTGAAAAAGGGTACGACATTGAAAGGTCCAAATAGTAACAACTTATTGCGTAGTAAAATAACATATAGTCAAATTTCATTTACAATTCATATACATGTAGTTACACCAACTTCATAATCTATTATAAAGAAAAAACAAACAATTACATGTATGTAATATCAAACTAACTGTAACTGTGTACTATGATATTTACAAAAAAAAAAAAATCCCCATAACTTCTATTTACACAAAATTCCCTAAGCTGAAAATGGTTCTTTTTCCTACTGTTGGGTCTCAAAGTGTCATTTGCTCTAAGATGAATTTCACGCACCTCCCACGGTAAAAAGAGAATAAATAAATAAATAAAGGCACCCGCTTTGCTGCGGGTGGTCTGTACTGTGTCGTGCCTGCCCCCACTCGCCATTCAAGTCCACAAAAGGAAAGAAAACGAAATAAGCTTCGTTACCCCACTCCATAACTAGTAATTAACGTTATTTCTCACAAAAGTTCGTTTCCTCCTCTTCCCACATGCCTTTCTCTCTCTCCTCTCTGTGTTTGTTCTCTCATGGACTATTGATAGGTGGGGTTCATCGCACCTGTGGCTAAGCTTTCTCTTCAGCTAGGGTTGATTCCAGATTCTTGGTGAGCATCTTCCTCTTTCTTGCAATCTTTCATTTCCTCTTTTAGACACTCATACTTCAAGCCAACTATTTTCCTCTTTTTCTTTTCCTGTAACATTCCCTTCTCTTTCTCCTTCTCTTCTCTCCCCTTTCTTCTTTTTCCTCTTCTTGTTTAATCCTCAACACTTTGGTGTTTGACAGTAAGTTTCCTCAATCGTCTGCTTGTTCTGATTGGAAGCCCTCTTTGTTCTTGAAGGTTTAATTTCTTCTTAATTTTTTTTCTTCTTTCTGTCCACCCAAGAACAATTTTCTGTGTTGCTTTTTGGATCTGAGATTGATTTTCTACTTCGATTTGAGAGATAATGAGCTACCTCCTTTCCTTTAACTGGTCGGAAACTAAATATTCCGTTTTTTTAGTTATGAAATATTCAGTAATTTTATTTTCAGGCTGAATCTACCATACTTATTGATCATTATTGAATTTTTTCCTTATTTTCGTCCCTGATTTTTGGGTCTATTTTTGCTTAATAAGGAAATGACAAGACAGAAGATAGAAATAAAGAAGATCGATAACATAACTGCGAGGCAAGTGACGTTCTCGAAGAGAAGAAAAGGGCTATTCAAGAAAGCTCAGGAACTATCGACTCTCTGTGATGCTGAGATTGCTCTCATGGTCTTTTCTTCTACTGGGAAGCTCTTTGAATATGCTAGCTCAAGGTCTCTTTCTTTCTCTCTTCTTCTAATTTTCCTTTTCATCTTTATATATTCTCAGAAAGATTTTCGATCTATTCACTTTGATGATAGTTGAATGCTTTTGCCAGCTAATTATTTGTTTGATTTTCATACGTATATCTGCAAGATTCGTAACTATGTACTTGTGCTCATTATTTTAATTTTGTTTTAAACTCATTGGTCTAGACAAACGTACAGGAGAATGTCCACGAACGTGCTAGCTGAGAGAATCTCACTGTTTCTATCAAACAGTTTTCTGGGAAAATAATAAAGATCTTCTTGGCTGACTTGCTGTACTTAGCTTTTTGATTTTCTAAAACTTCGACTTCTTAGTTTATGATTCTTGAATGTTTCCCCCTTGATTAATGTATATCTTATTTTTTGCATCGTAACAAAGAAAAATGGCTTTAAAAACTTACACTTGTTGTTTTGATATGTAACTGCAAAGAAAATGCCAACATGATGTCATGTTATAGTTCATTTCATGTCCAATTTGGTGCTTAGGGTAAAATACCTGATTTCAGAACATGTTTAGTTTTCAGAAGAAAACACACTTTCTGGATGTTCATTTAGAGGCTTTATATCAATTACGCAGAAGACTATTTTCTTTAATGGCAGTGTAACACAACGCATTAAGTGTTTCCTCTTTCTTTGCTTTGCGAGATTAGTATTTCACTTTCTAATCTCTTTCAATCCTCTAGAGGACCCTTAGATAGATAACATCACGGTATACGAGTGAAGTTAAATATTTGCATGTGTATTATTACAGGCGTTTGGTATGCGCCCACACATGCAAAACTACTAAAACTTGCTAAGGATGAATTCTATCCTAGTTATCAAAATATGTTCCCTAGCTTAGTACGTTTAATAAAGTTTAGAAGAGGTTTATATTAGTAGAATAGGAAGTGCAGGAAAAAGACAAAAAGGAGAAAGAGTGAGTGAAGTTCAAAATATTTAAGAAATGAAGCAAAATTCTGAAACTACTTAATTATGAGATATGGGAGGTCACCCAAACTTATGTGGATAATCTAAAAAACACACCATTGAACTATAACATAGGAGATATAGTAATTTTCTTGTCTAAGAGTAATGGTCCGATTCAACACCCTAACCAAATACGATAATACTCTTCGTTCCTGCAGATCACTAGGTTTGAAAATTGCCGTGTTTAATTTGATCGGAAACACTGGAAACTCAGAGCGGTGAAACTCTGCATAGTTATCCCTTTTAGTGTTTTAGTCATCATCTTAAATCCATTAGTAATCATTAACGAGTTATTACAAGTGCTTTGCCTCTGTCAGTTAGAAACGAATTTTCCACAAAACCTAAGTGAATATGCGCATTTGTTATTAGGAGGTGTTTTAATCAAATAGAAGTCAATATATTTGTTGTATTCCAAAATGCCATCTCTCCACATTATTTTCTATCTCCGGATTCTTTACACGTCTTTCTTTATAAATCTCCTGTAGTTTAATAATTAATCCCCATATAGGGTAGTGTCTGGGTCTTTTTTCTTTTAAGACATAAAAAATGCAAGAATATTTCCACCATTTTATCATAAAGACGCGATTAACGCAAGCTATTTCCGTAATTTCTTTCCATTACTGGTTTGAGGAGGGGTTGTAATTGTCCCCTTTCAAAAAAAAAAAGAAAAAGAAAGTATCAAAGCCATTAATCCAACCTTAGGAAGAAAAGAAGTAAAAAGTGTCGCAGTTAAAGTCATGGAATTAATTAGCAAGAGAGAGTAATCAGGCTACTACTTGTGATCGAGTAATTTTGACATCACAATTAACGAACATGGAATGAAAATTAAAGTCACTTGCATTTGATTGCATTTATAATCTTTTAACGTGCAACTTTATGTTTACTACTCATTTGATTATTAATTTTCTTTTGGTTACAACTCATTCGATGATTTTAGTCACGCAAAGTTGTGTCAAAATGCCTAGTAGTACTTCAGAGATTCAAGAGACTTGCATTTGAAGTGTTTGTGTTTATACCAGAAATTCATGAATAAAAAATTATTTTAGGGGCTGATGTATAATACTACCTCTGGTCCTTTAAACATGAGCTAGTAAGAAAATTAAATTTGATTCTAAATATAAAACATAAATTCATTTTGTTCCTTTATTTATCCAAACTAACCCTATTAATTGCATATGTTAAAGAAGTTTGCATCAAAGGATAGTTTTAATCCAAATGATTTAAGAGGGCATTTTATGAAAACCATCACACATTTTTGACAAATAACTAATTTAATCACTTTTCTTAATCTATTCAAATTAGTTAAGTAGATCTTATATTAAGGAACATATGTTGTATATTATATTATACTTGTGGTTCAAGTTCTCTAATACCACTTCTCTTTTTGGTCCAATACTGTGTCCAGTGTGTAGTGTGCAGAATAAATTTTGAATCATCTGTCTTTTTCCATACATAGTGTGCCGCAGGTTATTGAAAGATATGATCAGCACTCACAAATTGAGAGATTATATCATTCATCTGCTTTGGTAAGATCATTACGCTTTTTTTTTTTTCTCTGAAACTGACTTCGTCTAAATATATGCTTTGCAATCCTTTTGCTCCATTTTCTTGCTCCTTTAAGTATTATAAACTAGCCTGAGTTATGCGACACTTATTCCATATCGCATGAATAGTACAACTTATAAGATTTTTTATACTATCATATATAGATATTTAGATTGTTTTTGTTGAATTGTCCTTGCCATAGTACATTGGTTTCGTTCCCTTTGACTTCAAAAAATTTATCCCTTATCCCTCTTCAACTTGATTATTTGTTTAATTACCTTGAGTTTCCCCTTTTCCATGTTTATATGATAATTTAGTTTAGAAAGGATGAAATATTTGGATTCATAGCTCATAGCTCATCTCCAACTAGCATGGCCTAAAGCTAAATCAGGATCCAAATGAGGTGATATCAAATCAGTCCAATGAATAAATTAAAAAAAATTGCTTCAAGTTCGCGAACAATGTGAATAATAATAGTAATAAAATGTTATGTATATAGATAAAAGTTACTTTTTTCACTATGTTTGACCTGAAATTCAATAATAATGAACTAATAGAAATCTCATGGGGAATTTATGCATAGTATGAAAAGGAAACCTTCAGCATTCTCAGCAAGGAAGAAGCTAATAAGACTAAGGAATTGAGGTACGTAATACAAGAGTGTGTGTGTGTGTGTGTCCCTGTGAAACTTTTATTTTGTGCCTCCTCTATGCATGGACTTATATTGCATTACTAAGGGGATGAATATACCTTATAATTATATTGAAAGGCAGTTGAAGGGAGAAGAGCTTGAAGGATTGAACACAAAAGAATTAGAGAAGCTTGAGGACCAAATAAAAAGAGGTTTGAGCCGTGTTGTCAAAGCAAAGGTTTGCAATTTTTTCTCTACTACAAGGATTGCGGATCTGATCTGAATCATCTAAATCGGATTTGAATGGTCTAAATTTTAAAATAAAAAAATTGACTGGGAAATTATAAAATCATTGTATCCTAAACATTTCTATGTATGGTGACAAGATCCATGGGCTTATACTGCATACAATATATATCCCAGCGCAAAACCACCAAAGCATAAAATTTCCTCAAATTTTGGGTCATGGAAAATAGTTTTTTTTAATACTTTCAAAATCAAAAAATAGGTCTCTTAACTCCTTGACCCTGGGGGGGGGGGGAAGTTCTCCTATTTCACCCTTAACATTGTTATATCCCTTATCCTGCTTCAAAGGAGATGTTGGTCTTGGGACCATCAGAACCTTGTCTTGCCAGTTATGGAGGAGTTTGAAATTAAATAACATATGAAGCATTAAGGGTGAAATAGAGAACTTTTGTGGACCTACTTTTCATCAGTTTTGAAAAGTAGGGAAGCGATTTGAAGGTTTTTTTTTTTTTTCTTGTTTTTGATCCGTGTCACTTGGAATTTTTGAAATTTCTTGGTTTAACGCCCAAAGTTTTTGCATTTAAAGATACTTTATAAAAAGTAGTGCTATTAATCTTCACATATGTATGATGCGCTTGGTATTGTACAGGATGAAATGATCATGAAAGAGATCAATGCCCTGAAGAGAAAGGTGAAGTACTTTGTTCCAAACAAAATTGTTGAGGGCTCATATTTTTGTTACCACTTGAAATCTGAGAAGAAGATGCACCATAATGTATAGTAGATATAATTACATTTAGTGCGAATGTTAGTAAGGGATGAGACCCAGAGAATTTGATATATATGTAATTGAGAAAATTTCTAGTAGTTTTTGGCCATCAATTACTTGGTTAATTAATCTTTAAAATATATTATTTAATTCTTGAGACTGAAAGGATTTATATAATATTGTTTTGTCCTTAAATCTTAAAATTACATTAATACATGCACGAGGACCAAACAATAGTAAGTCTGAAACTTCTATATGAATGTGAATCTTTAATATTCAAGAACTAAACAATTGAAGTATAAATGAAATGTAATAATCCTTAGTAATTGTGAGTATATATCTTGATTATTTATAATCCTTAGTCATTGTGTGTATGTATCTTGATGTATAGCAAAATGTTTTCATTGAAGAACTGATCTACCAGGCCCTATCTTATTTATAGAGACGTATAGGACACCTAACGCTTCATTCAGTTCTTCTCTCATAATGCTTCTTTGTCTGCGCAGGGAATCCAGCTGATGCGAGAAAATCAGAGATTGAAACAAATGGTATGTGTTTTGAAGTATTTGCACAGTAAATTAGTGTTAAACTGATTAAGGCTTTGATTAACCCAAGTTTCATTGATTAGACCATGGTCTTCGGTTCACATTTGAACTAGTCGATTTATGTTCTACATATAAACTAGACTTTGAGTCTTGAGCATTGCATAGAGAGCCTGAGCTAATTGGATGCTTCACTGATCAATGCTCTTTATGAATGAATAGCGTGATTCCTACTAGCTTTTATATACATTAACAACAATAATACTTATCAGACCATGGTTGATTCATAGTCTAATTAACTAGTCATCAATAAATTAATATGCTTTATTAAGTTCTATATATGTTACTAGAGTTTGGGTCTCAAGCATTGCACAGAGCCCAAGCCAGTTGGAGGCTGCACTATTCAAGGCTCCTTGTGAAGATTTTAAAAGATTAACTTTCACCAGTTTTAATTTGGCTTATTTGTCTAGTTTTGGAGGAAATTTTGGATTGGACCAAGGGCTGAGGTTCATTGGTTTGAACCAGCTGGTCCAGTTAACATTGGTTGTTTCAGATGGTGGGAAGAATATCTCAAGATGGAAAATTTGTGTTCAGGTGAAGAATGTTGGAGAAGAACAAGGTCGTTCATCTGAGTCAACCAATAATGGCAGCACATCTGATCCTCCACGTGACGATGATAGTTCAGACACCTCTCTCAGATTGGGGTCAGTATAACTAACTAACTGTTCATGATGGCTTGGTTTTATAAAAATTCTTAACATCTTAAAACAAGAAGTGGATTTTAGCATTCAGATCTTCCAACAGTTTAGTGGAGTCAAGTCTTGTAAGTAAATTAATGTGTGATTAACAATAACCAGTTGAATTGTTTTCTAGGACTTGTATTCCGTCCAATCCTAAATCCAAAAGCTAGATAACTGATTTACAAAGATTTAGGAAATTAGTTAAGTTGGCTATGTTGGAAAAAAAAAAGTGTCAGTTTATTTAAATTAATCATCTCCATTTATGTAAATTTCGTTAATATATACAATGAATAGAGATAGTTTTTTAGAGGAAATTATAAATTTGCAAGATAAAATGTATTAAGACCTTATGTTTAGAACCAAAACGAACATCTCTATTAACTTTTACATCTAGGACAAGAAAAAGTATTCTGTAAGCTCCACAGTTTTCTTTCCAAAGTGGATTTCTTTCGACATATGCAATATGGATTTTTTCAAAACTGAGTTGTGTGTTTCGGGTAACCGTATGTTTGCCCAAAAGGGACAAATTGTGACTTGTAGGAAAACCCACAGTTATAGGAATCATGCTAAAAGTCTTGTTTATGTCGGATCATGTTTAAATTGCACTTGAAGCTATCTATGTTCATAAAAATGTATGTGTTCTTACTTAGGGTTTGGTTTCCGACCAAATGCATCCAATTTCATGCTGTGAAACTCGTTACCAAACGCAGGAAATGGTTGTTAATATTTACGTGTGTGTACACATAACACACAGGAGACACAAAGTAGGTAGATTTGTGGCGTCTCATAAAAGAGTCTAACTTGGTTGTTTTCTATCTGTTGCAGATTATCTTTGTTTAATTAAATAAATATATTAAAAAGGATGTGGGACAACAAAATGGAGCAGAGCCAGATTCTGTGTGTGTGTGTGTGTGTTTTTTTTTTTTTTTTTTTTGCTTTTTTGGGTTTAGTTTATTAACCGTTGCGCGCGGGATCTTTTCCCGTTATTTCGTAGCAAGTGAATTTGCTTAATCTGTAAGTAGGTGTTGAATTGAGTACATAAATATAAGCAATGAATATGCATGTTGTAGTTGAAATTCAAATCTGCTTCCCTTTTTCTTCATGCCAAGTGATTCATCATATGGAAAAGGCAGAAACGCGATGGCTTATGTTAAGCCAATGCTTCCAAAACGCTACCAAATTCTTTTTTTTTCGTACAATAAAATTCAGGTTAATTGGGTTTCAGGAGTTTATTAAGATCAGGACATGTTTCACAGCTCAGAGAGCTCTTAAAGATGTACTAGTATTTACAGATTGCTCAATAACAAAATCTTCATATACAATAGTGGGATTTAAACTCAAAATTTAGCAGGTTATGAGTTGACTGTCTTCTTACCAACCGAAACACTTACCAAATATTAAAAATGGAAGGGTTGGCAAGACCATTTTTGGCGTAGTTCAGACGTTGCTTCCAAAAAAGCTAGGAATATTTTCTTTGAAAAAAACGGGGTAAACTGCATTTAACACCGACGTATTTTCGTAGTTCTAAAAATATTGAGGATTATTGGAAAATTATCTTATTAGGATATTAAATGTGCTTTAACCCAATGGGGCAAAAAAAACTTTAAACCCTCTTGAATGGCAAAAACTTTCTTGATGAGAATTTAACAAAGTTGTAACTCGCAAGCCTAGCTAAAGCTTCCTACAGGCTTAGATATAAGTTGGGGCATCTGCTGATGATTGAGTTTTTTTTTTTTTCCCAATCAATGACAGAAAATATATTTGTGCAGGACTGAGTTGTTTCTGCCAAAAAAATCTAACAAATAATATTTTCCATAAACATTAAATTTATGCAAAACTAGAGACGAAATATATACGTACGTGTCCGGTACAACACATTAGGATCTATGACAAATCTTAGAATATTAGGAAATGGGTAATGGGAATAAAAATTATATCGCAAATTATAAAAACAAACTAAATTAAAATATTATTTGTTCTTCTTAAATGTAGTAACATAATTTTGGGCGTGAAAAATGCAAAACCAACACATTAGCATAAGCATCAATAACACTGTTTTTTCTATGCTTCCTTAAAAGCCAAAAGAAAAACCTTTTGATCTCTTCTAATTAAATAATAATAATAATAATAATAATTATATGTATATATTATTATCCACTTGTTGTTGGGGTTGTTGAGGTATGAACAGCGTAAATAATAGAAAAATCTGTGACATGGGAGGATGAAAAAGAAAGAAGTTGAGAAATTATACATGTAAAATTGTTGTGAGGAAACCTAGGGTTTTGTGAGGTGAAAATAACAACGAATAAAGAAATAATAAACTCGAGGAGTACGAGGGTACAAAAATATCAGAAGTCAGAACTGTCGCTGAAAATGGAGACGTGGGCATCTGTACGGCAGAGCAAGGTGACATCGATTTCACCATAGATGGACAGACACAACAACACCACTCAACTTTCACCATCCATCTGCTTCACTGCTGTAATCTGCTTCCGCCTTTTCTTGTCGGGTGCGTTTTGATATGAGTGTACTGGCGGGGGGAAAAAATTAGTAAGTTCGATTTTAAAAATTTTTAAAATTACAAAAATGAGATTAAAATTTTTAATTAATTTTTATTATTCTTTTATAGAACTTGTTAAAATTTGTTCCCCTTCTATTTTCCTCCTACAAAACAGTATCTCAATAAAGATTTCGGTAAAGGGGCACCTAGTACTCCAATTTTTTTTTTAGAAGCACCCAGCACTCCAATCTTTTTTTTAGCATAATTTTACTCACCATCTTTTTTGTGTGTACAATTTTACCCGTTTGCAACAGTCCATTAACATCTGTTAACGCAGACATGTTTTTTTTTTCAAAAAAAAAGGTCCACATAAGCGCTGACAGGGATGAAAATTGCCAGATAATAATAATAATAATTTAATTTATTCAGAGATACAAGGAAAAAAACAAACTGAGCTGTATTTGCGCGTCCACTTTGCAAACATTGGAGCCCTAAAGCGAACTGCAAATTCCAGTAGTGAAGGTCGCAAGGAAGATGGTGAATAAAAAATCTCAATTGTTAAGGTAAAATTGACCTTAACAAGCATTGGAGCCGGTCAGCCAAACATCGAAAATGGGCTCCAATTCTTAAATATATATTAGAGAATTGGTCTTCTCAAATACATATTCGAGAATTAGTCTTTGGTCTTCTCCAGTACATATTCGAGAATGACATTTGATCTTATATAGAACCAACTTCACAGTCAAACAATAATCACATACCTGATTGTAATTGCGACACCCATGAAACCTTCTACCCAGGTTCTTTTCACTCCAAGCTGTCCATCGAGGAGCCAATAAGCCACAGAAACAATACCATCTTCGACCTTCATACTTTGTCTCTATGCCGACTTGCCTCATTAAACCAACCCGTCTTCTACTCGATGCAGCGGGTTTGATTCACCCATCAAACATTCAATTGAGACAAGCCACAGAGGAAGTTGATTCTACCTTAGCAATGGAGATTTTTTATTCACCGTCTTCCTCGTGACCATCACTGTTGGAATTTGCAATTCGCTTTAGGGCTCCAATGCTTGTAAAGTAGGCGAACGAATACAGCTCAATTTGTTTTTTTCCTTGTATCTCTGAATAAATTAATAAATTATCATCATCATCATCATCTAGCAATTTTCATCCCTGTCAGCGCTGATGTGGACCCTTTTTTTTTTTAAAAAAAAACATGTTTGTGCTAACAGATCTTAGAAGACCGTTGCAAATGGGTAAAATTGCACCCAAAAAAAAGATGGTCAGTAAAATTGCACTAAAAAAAAAGATTGGGATATTGGGTGCTCCTAAAAAAAAGATTTTGGTGCTGGATGCCCTTTTACCCTAAAGATTTTTGTTTTTATATTTTAAAAAAATTTTAGGCTTTGTAGATAGATTCCAATTCCAAGCTTTTACTTTTTGGAAAATAACATTTTAAAACACGCATATTAAAATAAATTTATTTTATGAAAAATTAAGGGTAAAATAGCATCCAATAAGCAATACCTCAATATTATGTTTTAGTAACATTTAACATCATAGTCTTATTTATGGTGCATCAAGTATTTTGATATTGTTTTCTCATACCTCTAATACCTATCATGTTGTTATCTAGTCATATCTAGCATTTTAATCTTGTATAAAATTAAGATGCAGAATGTAATTAAGAAATAATATCAGGGCGTCAAATGCTACTTTAATTTATCCGAGAATCAATAAGCAAATTCCTTTAATTTTACTTTGTTTTTAATTGAGTTCCAACATTCATAATTTGTTCATTTAAAAGGGAAACAATGTTAGTAGCTAACAATGTGACCATTACTCAGCATGTATTTGAATTAATTTCTTTACATGGATCTTATAGCCATATTACAAATTACTCTATATATAGATACAAGAAAACAATTATGAGTATGATAATGAATAATTTTTACTTTATATTTTATTTAAAAAGTTTTCTTTTTTATATTTTGTGACAATTAAATAAACGTTAGATTAACGTTTGCGTGCGATTTTACATGCATCTAGCTACCAGCTGCACTCGAGGAATCTGAATGAATTGATATTATTATTCTTATAGGGGTATATGCAAGTTTTGGAATATCTATGTGCGTGTAAAATTTCAATACGATTAAAAAAATAATAGTTTGCTCTGTTTTTTTTTTTTTTTTTGCTTTGAAACCATCCAATACATTTTAGTATTATACAAGTTTTGTTAAATATTTTGATTTAAAAGTTTGTTAAACATTTTGTAAATCATTTAACTTGAAAATTTTCTAAATAAATAAATAAATTATAATTATTCCTATTATTTCCTCCTTCCCCGGCAAAACTCATCCACTATGTTCTGTTTTTTTTTCCTTTTTATCCCGTAGTTTCTTATCATTTCCCTCAGGACTCTATTCCATGTATATTTTTGTGGATGCTCCACAAAGGAAAGAGATCAAAGTTTTTTTG